GTCCAATATGTGGCTCTGCTTGGGCCAGACCCATACTAGAAACTAAAGAGACCTTCCCCAAGCAGAGGACTCTGCCCAAGGCCAGCAGACCCACATCACAGGAGGATCTGAAGGGCCATCTGGAATGGAAGGGCAGGGAGTCATGGTGTAGCGAGAGAAGCCCTATCACTGGGATTGGGAGCAAGGTGGAATCTGTGCCCAGCAGAGGTATCCCACAGAGGACTCTGCCCAAGGCCAGCAGACCCACATCACAGGAGGAGCTGAAGGGCCATCTGGAATGGAAGGGCAGGGAGTCATGGTGTAGTGAGAGAAGCCCTATCACTGGGATTGGGAGCAAGGTGGAATCTGTGCCCAGCAGAGGTATCCCCACGTTCTGTGGAACGGCTGGCATTGAGACCTGCCTTTCCAGTGGCACAGGGTGCTTCTGAGGGTCTTGGAGCCTCCCCTATGTGAGTGGATGAGGCAGGGGAAGCTTATCCCAAGGCCTGTCCTGCTGGCCCCGACAGTACCATCCACTCCTCTCCCTGCTCCCCATGCAGCCTCTGGTCCCACATGCAGGGCGAGAAGGATAAAGGGGACTGAGGGGAAAGCAAGGCCATGGAAAATCAGTCAGAGCCTAGGTATGTCAAGCCAGCATCAGCGGGTGGGATGCTGGGTGCAGCAGGCTTGCTATCAGCCTGGGTCCAGGCCTGTTGTCGGGTGCTCTAGGAGGTCCCCTGGCTCTGTAGGAAATTGCTGACTTTTGTGTCCTGGTATGAGATTTGTTATGTTGGGTTCTCAGGTCTGAAGGTTTAAGAGTGTCACTGAAAACCCACCAGCCTGGAGCAACTGGACTCCCCAGTCAGCATGCTGGGAGGGGGACACTGTGTAAGGACAGTGCTGCCGCAGGCTTCCTGGCAGTGCAGCAGCGCTCTCTGGTGGTTCAGGGCTAAAACAGCCAAACTCCAGGTGTCACTTAACTAAAATAAACCGAAGGGTGGTGTCTGGGCTGAGAAGTTCTGCCAGTCTTCACTTTTGCCCCCTGGCACCAGGGAAGGGTCAGCAAGGAGGTATCTCATTGATAATCTGTCTTAGAAGTCTTCACATTAATTCGGAAACCCAAATTACTCCCACTCTCAAAGTGGTGCAGAAATGGGTCCTCTCCTTGCACTGCTTTTTTAAAAATACCAAGCCTGCCAGAGTCAGAGGAGACTAGAAAAGAAAAGGGAAGAACAGGACTAACCAAAGCAAAATAAAGTGGATACACTGGAAGTGATGGCCCTGCCAGAATGGTGCTGGTACCGGAGCAAATGACTGCTCAGGATCAAGGACACTGACCCTACCTATACTCCAGCTTCCCTCACAATCTCCTGTGTGAGGGACACTGACCCTACCCACACTCCAGCTTCCCTCACAATCTGCCTTCAACCTGTCCACAGCCTTCTGGATAAAATGCCAATATCCTCTTTTATCCTGCATACCTAGCTGCTTAAATGTATTCTGCACAAAAAGTTAACTGCCTTCTGTCTTGACTGATTCATTAATTCAATATTTTCTAGTACTCCTAACATCAACTCCCCATGCCATAACATTTCTTCGGGCATACTGAATCGTTTAAAGTTTCGCTTCCTCTGATGTCTACATGTTCCTCCTTTTGATGAGTATGTAACTGATTGTATCTTCCTTTATAACTTTGGCTACCAGGAAGCTCAGGCAAATTTAAAATTTAGCTACATCAATTATGTAGGTTTTATCAGCCACATATCTTTTTTAAAGTGTTTTTAAATTGAAATGTAATTTTGTCTTAGTCTGCTTGTGATGCCATAATAAAATACCGCAGCTATGTAAATTCTTAGGCTTGAACCTGACTCAAAGTACCCGCAGCAAAATATCGCAAAGATGATGATAATGACCATATTAAAGGAAAGTTAACTGCCCAAAAGCCAGAGAACAGAGTCATTCTAACAAGGAATTACTTAGGTTCACACCATCCATGTTCTTCCACAGGAAGGAGCTTCTGTCCCCCATGGGTACTCTGCAAAGTCATAACATCTGTTCTGGTCTGAGACCCACGTTTAAAGAGAGAGATTATCCAGGAACCCAGTGGTGTAACTTCTCTCTCTTCTCTTATCAAGGTCATTGAAGGTATGAGAGAGCTCCCCTGACCTCACAATTTTGCAAGTTTCTCACTTTGTCCTGTGCACTTTCTTTCTTTTCACAATCAAATGCTCTGCTGCTTCACATCTAAATCTCTACTTATAAAGAAAGCCCGCCCCTCCCCCCATTCATTTCCGTATCATAATCACAGCCAAAGTGTTTAGAAACCAGGGCATGGTAGGAAGGTCATTAATGAGGTAAGAAAAGATCTGGAAATCACACTCATGATCCTCAAAGAAGTCAGGCCCTAACCTTGGAAATGAGTTTATAGGCTGAGAAATGCCTTGGGTGGTTAGGGCAATTATCTACCTGCTACATGGGATGCAGGAGGCACACAGTACTGGCCGTCTGTCATTCTGGCTTTTTTAAATGGCCACTCAAGGGGAACCACTGAGCCAGGTCTCTCAGTTCTGATACATGAAGGAGGATGAGTGGGGTGGAATCAGAACAGGCAGGCTGTGGGAATGAGAGACCAGCTGAAGTAGTGATTTTGCTGCCTCTCTGGGATTAGCCCTTAATCCCTTAGCTGTGCTGAGGGCATATAAACATGATTGAGAAAATCTTTCTTGAAAGCCATGCTTGAATGACCTTTGAATTAATCTGTTTTGTATTTTCTGGGCTACTTCTCTTTAGTGTGGGCAGATCCCAGACAAAAAGCAGAGCCTTTGCCATTGGCCAGATCCCTGCCCCCGAGGCAGAGGACCAAGAGTGGACTTTCTGGAAAGGGCCTGGAGCTTTGACAAGAGAAGGAGCTTGTCCTTGGACTCCCCTGTCTCAAGCCAAGAGCTCCGAGGGGCAGGCAACATCTCTGGAAGAACTGGCACCGAGTGATCCTCTGTGGCGCCGAGCAGAGCAGGAGCTGACAGCTGCCTGCATGTCCTTTCCCAAAACAGTGCCCGCTGAAGCAGTCTTGAGCCTTTGTGGTGTGTGAGAGAGCTCTCTGGAGCTCACTGGGTGTGCGGCCAGCTCCGGGGCTGCCGCCTACAGGGCCATCAGAACAGCCTGCTTTTCTTTCCTGGGTCTGAATGGACCATGTCTGCCTGGGGCTGGTCTCTAGGCACAGCTGGCTGCAGGGTTCAACCCTGGGTGCAGGGGCCTGCTCTGTGCACCTCCAGAGCCAGCTGGCTCTTGTGTATCATTTCCCCAGGCTCAAGGGTGGGTAAGAGTGTTCTGACATCACAGAAACTGTGACCTCTCCACTGTTTCCCAATGGGCTGAGGTCTGTTGAGAATTGTAAGAAAGGCTTAACACACTATGACCCCACACAGCCCCTCAGAAGAGCCACCACTTGCCCCCTGGAATGCTCTTTCTGCTTCTCTTATTGGGGCTCTTGTTTTGGAAGTGTGGCTTTCTCAGAAGAGATTACCTCTTGGGGCTGGGCATGATATTTCTATGACATGGGATGGCCTTTAAGAAAATATACCTATGGCTCCTTTAAAATCTCATGAAAAGGGCTGGCCTGTGGCTCACTTGGGAGTGTGGTGCCTATAACACCAAGGCCACGGGCTCGGATCCCTATATAGGGATGGCCGGTTAGCTCGCTTGGGAGAGCGTTGTGCTGATAACACCAAGTCAAGGTTTAAGATCCCCTTACCAGTCATCTTGAATTAATTAATTAAGGCTCAAGGGTGGGTAAGAGTGTTCTGACATCACAGAAACTGTGACCTCTCCACTGTTTCCCAATGGGCTGAGGTCTGTTGAGAATTGTAAGAAAGGCTTAACACACTATGACCCCACACAGCCCCTCAGAAGAGCCACCACTTGCCCCCTGGAATGCTCTTTCTGCTTCTCTTATTGGGGCTCTTGTTTTGGAAGTGTGGCTTTCTCAGAAGAGATTACCTCTTGGGGCTGGGCATGATATTTCTATGACATGGGATGGCCTTTAAGAAAATATACCTATGGCTCCTTTAAAATCTCATGAAAAGGGCTGGCCTGTGGCTCACTTGGGAGTGTGGTGCCTATAACACCAAGGCCACGGGCTCGGATCCCTATATAGGGATGGCCGGTTAGCTCGCTTGGGAGAGCATGGTGCTGATAACACCAAGTCAAGGGTTAAGATCCCCTTACCAGTCATCTTTAATTAATTAATTAATTAATATCTCATGAAAACCCATCCTTCTGCAAGCTGATAAGTCTTGGATCACTTCCTACCTTCCTCCACCCTGACCACTCCTGCTCTGGGACGTGAGGCAAACACCTTTTCCCTTTTCTAAGTGGTTGTAGTTCGAACTCTAACTGCCAGGTAATGATATAGGAAGCAAATATTGAAGTGAGTTAAAATCTAACACCCCTCCCTTGTTTTGAACAGGAACAGAAATTCTTGGCAAGTCAGTTCGTATTCTATTCTCTACGTTAGGAGTGTGCACATTTTTTGCAGTTGGCTATATGCTACTGCCACTGTTGGCTTACTTCATCAGAGACTGGAGGATGCTGCTGCTGGCGCTGACGGTGCCGGGGGTGCTGTGTGTCCCACTGTGGTGGTGAGTGTGACTCGTTCCCAGACAGGCCCTCTGCTGTGGGGCCAGCACACCTGGAGCTGACCTAGCCTGGGCTTTGCATGACCTCCACTGGAAGTTGCTGAAGCCGGCTTTGAAGCCCGGAGAGTTTTTACCTCATTGTGGGTAGGCCTGTGTGCAGGTGTTTGATTCTCTGTTGTCCTACAGAGAACACTGTTCCCAGGAATTACAATCCTTCCTAGGCTCTCCCCCCTTGTGTCTATTGCTGGTTGTTTTTTGTGGAGATGGTATTGTTGGGTTTTGTAGTTTCTAACTCTGCCCCTCTTCTTTTGTCACTTTTCTCTCTCTGTAAAATGTCAATAAATTCAACTACAATAGTGCCTGCTTATCCACAGGGAATATGTTCCAAGACTTCCAGTGCCCTCAGTGGATGCCTGAAACCGTGGATAGTACCGAATCCTGTATAAACTATGCAAAACTATAAACTTTTTCCTACACATACATACCTATGATAAAGTTTAATTTATAAATTAGGCATAGTAAGAGATTAATGACAATAACTAGTAATAAAATAGAACAATTATAGAAATATACTGTAATAACAGTTATGTGAATGTGGGCCCCCCCAAAATATCTTTCAGACCATGAGTAACTAAAACCGTGGAAGGTAAGGGGGGACTACTGCAAAGTAATTCCTCAAGCTAACCTTTCATGATGATTTGCATCTAAGGTGTGTCTGCTCTGTCTTGAAGAGTGAGAGAATTACTTTTGTTTAATGAATTGTTGGAAAACTGTTCTTTTCTCTATTCCCACAACCCCCCAACTCAATTTTGATGCAACATTTATGGGAATAACAAAGTTTGGAGATTCTGGTTTCAGTCTTACCCAATATGATTATCTGAGAGATTTCAGGTGAAAGAAAGGATTAAGAATAATGGAATAAGGTCTCAGCCATACCCCCCTTTTCCATTCTTTGCTTTCTCGTGTTTAAACAAGAGAAAAGAGGATTTCTTCCCCTGGTGGGTCTGGTTCTCCCTCTCTCTCTAATTCTTCTTGGTTTGGTTTCATTACATCAAAATCAAATCTTCCAGCAATGACTGATTTTGCTGAACAGCTTGGAAGGGAGTATGTGTATAGGGGGTGGGGAAGGAGACCAGAGATGCAAGATGAGGAAAGCTTCACAATTTCTAGCTGACTAAACATTAGGAATCCGAGGCCAGTGATGGCCCTCAGAGGCTATATAAAGAAAGGAAGGATATTTCTAAGCATAACCGGGTGGGGAAAGATACTGCTAAGAAGTAGAGGCATCCATGAAGTATACAGTGGCTGGGTAGTAAGACCTCTAGTTCTGCACTAATACAGTAGCCACCAGCCACATGTGGCTATTTAAATTTAAGTTAATTAAAAGTAAATAGAATTAAATTTTCATTTCTTCATGCATACTAGTCACAGTAGCTCAATAACCACATGTGGTTAGTGGCTACTATACTGGACAGCAGAAATAAAGAACATTTTGGAAGTTTCTATTGGACAGCACAGCTCTAATTACTGAAGATCAGTGACAGTTTATCATTACAGTTCCTATAAGGACCAACTAACGGCATATTCCAAAATGCAAACTGGGCTCATTTTTCAACCCATGTGCTAGTTACTGGGGAAGGGAGCTGGTGGTTGGTTATTTGTTTTGCTCTAAGCTAATCCCTAGTGTGGCTTTCAGGCCTATTAATTGTAGGAGGGCTCTGTATCTACTATTTGTAATTTATTTTCTAGGATAACTAAGTACTGACAAATAGGTAAGGAAAACAACAGCTGGCAGGAGAATGGCTAAGAGATTCTGAGAAATAAAAATTAGGAAAGAAGAGAAGTCCTACATTTGCAACTGTATTTGAGCATCAGTTGTAAATGTGTATACACTATGTAATTGTTAAAAATTAAGTCTTTAGACATTTTTTAAAAAAAGACAACATCGGGGCTCATCTCCCCAAAACTGGTTTGGGGATCTCACCTGGGAATCTGTTGAAAGCCACAGGGACAACCCACAGGAAAGTGTCAGTGCCCTCACCTTCTCCTCTGACTATGAGAAAATCTCGAGGAGCACAGGTTCCCTGGCCATCCTTTATCCAAAAAACTTGTGAACATCACCAGCTGGGGATGGACATGCCGAAAGACAGTCTCTTCTCTCGGGAGACTTACAGTCAAGTGACTGTATTTCTTTTATGAGCCATATTGGCTGTTAAGTTTTGGATGATCTTCTCCAGCTGCCCTGGCTTAAACACACCCACAGTTAATGTCACTCCTTATGGTCTGGTCCTGGTCTCAAGCACAACTGATGATCAGTCTTGCAATTTGATCAGAAGTTTGAAACTTGAGGATGTCTTTATTTATTCCTATAATTCAATGAGAATCTTTTGAGGACTCCCTCCCAATTGTCTTTAAAAAGAAAAACTAGATTTTTAGAAAATTAAAATTTTGTTGGGGCAGCTGATAGTTAATAGTATCAAACCCTGCTGTTGTAAAAAATTATAAACTATTAAAAATGAATTCTAGGTTTATTCCTGAATCTCCCCGGTGGCTGATATCCCAGAGAAGATTCAGAGAGGCTGAAGATATCATCCAAAAAGCTGCAAAAATGAACAACATAGCTGTACCAGCAGTGATATTTGATCCTGTAGAAGTAAGCATTTTCAGATATTTCCTCTTGAGATCAGCTATACATTCTTGATTTTATGGAATTTAATTTAATTCAATATTTGTTAAGTGCCCTCTATGTACCAGGCACTGTACTAGGCCTTAGATTAAGTTCTGAGATAAAATCCACCTTGAAGGGCTAAGAATTAAGAATTAATTAATATGTATGTAAACTGCTTAATGAATACTGTTAATTAAACATTAGTTCCTCCATTTTGCAAGTTTATCTCCATCTTTTTATTGGCATTGCTCCAAACCATTGATGCAGCTGTTTACCAGTAATTTTCAAATGTCCAGATTAAGTGGAAAAAATGTGTTTGAGAGCTATCCACCCTAGGTTCCCCACTATACCCCGAATCTTAACCAAAGCCTGCTGTGGAAGCTGCACATGTCTTTAGTCTTGTAATATGCCATGTCTGGAACCTTCAAGCCTAAGAACACAGGCTCAAGGATTCACCTCCAAGCAGGTGGCCACGAGGAAAAGCTGACATTCTATGGAAGCAGCCACACATCCTGACAGTTAGTGAGGACGTGCAGTGTTCCATGCCGTGTGTGGGCTCCTGGAGGAAACAAGAAAAATAACACACAGCCCCCATGCTAAAGGAGCATAGAAATAATTAAGGAGGGCAAAAGGATTAGGTAAAAGGTAAATGATGGCATAAGGGAGGAAATGCTAAGTACCCAAGGAGTGGACACACTGTGTGGCATCAGTATAGAGAAAGAGAGCAGGGTGGCCCAGGGGCAGAAGAGGCAGGTTCCAGCCAGGGAGGACAGTAGGATTCACACAGATGAATGAAGAGGATACAGCAGGGCTAGAAGGGTAGGGGACTGCTCAGGACACCTGAAGAAGGCTATGGTGGCTGCAGCAGCAGAATGCATGCCCTGTGCTAAAGTCTGGCCTACTGGCTACCCCAGAGAGCAGAACCCTGTGGAGAACAGTGGGCATGCTGTTGCTCCACCTGAGGGCTTCCTCCATCCCAGGCCTTCAGGACCTTTTCCAGAAGCAGATATCCTGGCAATGGCTGGAGGCTTAGTTACAGTCGTCATGAACCCAAGCTCTCAGAGGGCTACCAGGACAAAGCATCCTTAATCCTTTGCCCTTTGAATCAAGAAGTCCATTCCCAGTCTTAGTCAATTTAACTGGATGCAAAAATAACATTGGGAATGTCTAACATTTCTGCCTTTCAGGGTCGTGCTGGGTGCTCATTGGTATTTTTCAGATATGTGGCTTGATTCCTACCTTTGAGAATTTTATAGTCTAGCTGCAGAGATCAGACCTACACAGATGAAAGCAATCATAAAATAGATAAGAGATATATATTTATGGACAATAAATTCCAGTGTCAAAACACATGCATCTGATAGCACCTTGTTTCTTCCTGCCATGGTGCACATCTAGCCTGAACTGGATAAGCCCATTGAGGGAAAGGGAGCATATGCTTTCCTGAGGTCAGGTCATCTCCCCTGCTCACCTCCCAGGTAGGTTCCTCTTTAGGAGGATCTGCAGAGTCCTGTGCCAGCAGATGCAGCCTGTTCAGAATGATAATGAAGAGCCTGCCAGATGCCAGGCACTATGTTCAGCTCATTTAATGCTCATGCTAGCCATAGCTAGTAGATACTACTATTAGCCCCATTTTTCAGGAGAAGAAACTGAGGTACAGAGAAGTTAGGTAACTTGACCAGAATCACACAGCTATTAAGCTGGGATTTGCAACCTAGATCTCTCTGGTGCCAAAGTGCATGCTCTTAACAATGATGCTTTTTTAACTCATGTTAGAGGCAGTGGCATGAACTTGGACAGGAAAAAATATAGAATAGTATCATCTTGGAAAGCAGTCTTGAGCTTCCCCAGCTTCAGAAGAAGCACCCTCAACCTGCTTGTGGTACCTGATCCAAAGACATTTTGGTGGCTCCACCCAGGCCAGGGACAACCACTGGATACAAGAATATTCTTGTCCTGAGGTTTCTAAACCTAGCTGCTCATCACAATTACCCAATGAGCTTTAAAAAGACAGATTCCCAGGCCTCTGGGTCCTGTGAATGAGTCAGAGTAAGCAGGTCCAGGGTGGAACCAAGCAATCTGTGTTTTAATAATGGCCCTGTGGCAGTGTAAGCCAGTGTTAGCACAGTCCTGATCCACAGGTCCTGTCTGTATATAGCACCCCCCGACACCCGGAACCCTCCAAGAAGTCTTCTAGTTCTCACTAGTGTACACAATGGCTTTGCTTTGTTGTAATAACAGTGTTATACTGCTAGGGGCATGTTCTGGAACTGTATACTCCAAATAGTGCAAGAGAAAAAAGGCAATATGGCTGTGAGCTATGTGAGTAGTGTTTATTCCTGGAAAGAAGGATGCTTACATTTGGGAGCACCTGCTACAAAAGCAAGCCTGGCACTCATTTCTTCATAATAGAAATTCCTTCCTCAGTCTGTTACTGCCAATATACCATAGGTCATAAGTCCTCGGACTTTATTCCTAAGATATTCCCCACCTCAGAGCCTTATAACTTTATTTTAGCTTCAAATCTAATAGCTTGTTTATTAGACTCATAACTCGTAGCAAATTAACATCAACAAATTGAAAGTAAAGGAGTGAAGCCCATTGATAGCACTAAGAAATTACCATTAACCACTGATGGCTAGTATCTTTTCCTCAACAGTGCAGTAATAATAATATTAATAATAATAGTAATACTTAAAATTTATTGGGCATTTACCATGGTTCCTGTGCTAAGCATAATATATATGATCTCATCTAATTGTCTCACTGTGCAATTAATATACCCATTTTACAGAGAGGTAAACTGAGGCTCAGAGAAGATAAATAGTAACTTGCCCAAGGTTCCCCTGTTAACCAGTCTGTTCTGATGCTAAGACAACAAGAAAAGTATAAAAAGCAGACATGAGCTCAAGGCAGTTTGGGGCTACGTGGCCCTACCCACTCAGTAGGCCCTACAGATCACAGATCACTGTGATAAAAGTCCATCCACAGTGATGACCATGAGTCAAGGAAAGGCTATGTTTGTAGTCAGGCTTTGTATAAAGAGAAAATCGAGCTGGTATTATATATTTGAAAGTCTTCTAAAATGGGCTACAAACATTTTATTTTATTTATTTAGTTTTTGGCAGCTGGCCGGTATAGGGTTCCAAACCCTTGACCTTGGTGTTATAACACCGTGCTCTAACCAGCTGAGCTAACCGGCCAGCCCACAAACATTTTAAGGTGTTAGAATAAGCATAATATAAGAGGGGTCTTCAAAAAGTTCATGGAAAGATTCATATTATCTTTTAATTTTATTTTCACAAAGTTTTAATCTTTTAATTTTATTTCCACAAAGTTTTTGAAGTTCCCTCATATGTGGATGTCCTTATTCTCCCCCAGTTTCCAGACACCATATTATCTTTTAATTTTATTTTCACAAAGTTTTTGAAGTTCCCTCATATGTGGATGTCCTTATTCTCCCCCAGTTTCCAGACACCTAAGCATATTCAAGGTGAAGTGAGAGTTGCATGCATAAGTTTTTCTCACACATCATGGCCAAAGATACTTCTTCATTACCTCATAATGTCATGGTTATTTGCATTATTTTAGCTACAGGAGCTAAACAGCCTGAAGCAGCAGAAAGTTTTCATTCTGGACCTGTTCAGGACTCAGAATATTGCCACAATAACCATTATGTCTTTGCTCCTATGGTAAGTAATAGGTGATCTGGAAATGCAGACATATAGCACATAAGTATGCAACTTATTTTCTTTAATTCAGGGAACATCATGGCAAGGCCTTGGTTTTCCTGAGGCAAAATAGAAATTATAGATTTCTAAGTTATTTGGAAATGCCTTGATTCAGTCCATGAGACTTGGGGCTGGCTGGTTAGCTCAGTTGGTTAGAGCAGGGTGCTGATAACAGTAAGGTCCAGGGTTTGATCCCTGTACCAGCCAGCCACCAAAAAAAATAATAATTTTAAAAAATAAAAATGGTACTGGATACAGAAAACAGTCACAGGAAACAATATTTCAGTCTTCAGTACTAAGGCCCAAAGGGAAAGAGTTCCTTCCTCTGCTAAGGTTATGGGATTAAGTCTAATGACATCCCGGTACCTGAGGCAGAAATGCTAATTAAGTTCCTGCTTTTTGAAGATGAACTGGCAATTAACAGTGAACTTAGAAAACCTGGATCCCCACTGCCTGGACTGGAGTCTTCACAAGCTTTTCACACTTGCCAACAGCAAACTAACAAATGGTTTTAAGGCACAGAAATAATAAACTGGCTTTGTAGACTAGATTTAATAATGTATCTGCCAGGAAATGGGAAATAAAAAAGGAACCTATCTTCCCCACGATGGCAGCACAAATAAAAGCTGATCATCAGAACTGGTAGATTCAGACTGCAGCTAGTGTATTTTTAGGTCCATCCCGTTTGGCAATTAGAAAAAAATCAATGACAGAGCTTATGCCTCTGAATTAAGCAAATGTGTCTTAGGCACATGACCTTCCTCACTGTGAACAGCCTTAGTTCTTAGATGTCAGGATATATTGCTGATGCAAATGTATCTCAAGCAGTGGCACTATTGAGCCAATAACAAACTAGTCACTAGCTCTGTTTAAGGTCTTCTTATTGGCAAATGTGAAAATCACTAAGATCCCTAGAGCAATGAAGTTTAATTTTTTGTTTTGTTTTGGATTAGTCCTTGTGCTACCCAACTTGGTCTAATGTTGCACTCTCTTTGTCACCTGTATTCCCCTGGGTGATGGAGATGCAAAGGATTACTCAAAGCCCATTTCTTTTGAGAAGTGAAAAACCCAGAAGATGTTAATTTCCAGGAACCCTCAAGAGAGAGCCATTCCTCCTCAGGAAATTAACAGGGGACTGGGGTTCTTTCTCAGTATTTATTTTCCAGGCCAGAAAATTACAGAAAAGGAACATAGGTGGAGTTATGGCTAAGTATAGTTTAACAATAGAGGCTGGTAACATCAGTGAAATAACAAAGTGACATTCCATAATGCAATTTGCAAAAGGTTAAGTTGATCCACCAACAAAAGTTTGTTCTTAGCAAATACTGTCTTTTCCTACAGCAGTTTCCTCAGTATGTTTACATAACAATAAAGTAACTTTGGTTAACCTGCTCCAAGGGCATCTGTCCTTGAGCCAGCAATTTTGCTGTGTTACAATTCTTTATCTACAACAGAGACTTTAGCCTGAGGAAAGTTTCCTGTCTTTTGCAAGCTTAACATTTCTATATGTAGTTTTTAAAAGTTAGGTTATACCTGAAAGTACAGGGCTTTGGAAGCTAGGCCCTGTGAAATACATTTGCTTTATAAATGTTAATGTACTCCACAGTCTAATATGTATAAAAAGATCCAACAGTGTTCCTGAAAACATTTTTCAGATATCCTCTGCTTTTCAGTAATGTTAATATTAAGCAAATTTTAGGCTGGCTCATTAGCTCAGTTGGTTAGAGTGCAGAGTTAGTAACACCAAGGTCAAGGGTTTGGATCCCCATACTGCCCAGCTGCCAAAAAAAATAAAGAAGCAAATTTCTATAGAGGGAAGTCTGTCTGCACAGAGGTTTTTTCCTACAGAAAAGCTTCTATGTGAAAGTTAACTGTAATGACTGGATACGCAGCCTGCACTCTGTGATACTTTGAAGCATTATGGGACTTTCACTCTTTTCCCTAAAGTGAATACAAAATCAAAATTTACTGTAAGTGGATCCCACAGTATTACCTAAGCATCTTTTTTTTTTTTTTTAAGAATGAAATCTGGACTTTATGTTCACTGATGTGACTGACATTTCTTCTTCAAATAATAGTTCTAAGGGAATAAGGATGTACAAACTATTCATGAAATATTGAAATTTGAAATCATCTAGCTGAGAATAGGTATTGTTGAATACTGGCATATCAAGCCTGTCTAACAGAACTTACTGCAAGGAAATGTTTTACAGCCGTGTTGTCTAATATAGTAGCCACTAACCACAAGTGGTTCCTGAGCACTTGAAGTGTGGCTAGTGTGACTGAGGAACTGAATTTGTGATTTTATTTACTTTCGATTTATTTAAATTTAAATAGCTACATTTGGTTAGTGGCTACTTACAGACAGCAAGATCTAGACAATTTCTTGACCATCATGAAATTTTAGAGTGATTCAGGCCATCTGTTTGTCTTCCTTCTTTTATCTTTCAGGATGCTAACTTCAGTGGGTTACTTTGCTCTGTCTCTTGACACTCCTAATTTACATGGAGATGCCTACCTGAACTGTTTCCTCTCTGCCTTGATTGAAGTTCCAGCTTACATTGCAGCCTGGCTGCTACTTCGAACCCTGCCCAGGCGTTACATCATAGCTGGAGTACTGTGTCTGGGAGGAGGTGTGCTTCTCTTAATTCAATTGGTACCTACAGGTAAGAAGCTAAACTTACCAGAAAAGATTCACACATTGATTAGGCCACGTATGAGTAACAGATCTCCATTTATTCAGCCTTTACATCATAAACCATTCATAAGTTAAATGTAAGTTTCCTGGGTTCAAAACAGTTAATCTCAAACAGAAGAGTCAGCCTTGGAGAATCAGAAATCACCAACTAAAGAAGAGTAACTCTCCCAATTATCCCCTTGATAGAAAGATTCACCTAAACTCTCCAACCTTTTTCTTTGAATTGCAATCATGATTCCTGATTTCTCAGCATTTTCAAACCTTTTCTCTGATGTGTATATTCAACCATTAGAGTTGGTAGGACATGCTAGTTTCAATATAAATTCAGTGATTTTATGACCTGAATCCTTAACTAATTAAATAGCACCCAAAGGAACATATGCTTCCCTTTTCCCCTTGTGTCTTTTTCATATTATTAAAATATTAAGTCAACAAATTATTGATACATAGTAATATACATAGACATATATATTTCTTAGTAATGAGAAACAGGATAGAAAAGACTGGCTCTTCTCTTTGAAGATTAAACTTAACTATATTAACATACTAATAACTTACCAGGAAGCTGCTGTAAATAAAAGACAAGTGGACAAAGGTCACTGAATGCATTAATGATCTAAAACAACGGTAGAGCAAAGTAGAAAGCCACCCCTCACTCTCCATTTCTGTGCATGTCCAATTATTAGGACATTTGAAGAGAGTGTTATTTTGACAATATCATTGTTAATAAAAACATTCTCATTGAAGCAAAAAGGACTATAAAAGCAACTGAGCTATGAAAGTATCACCCTTTTTTTTTTTCCTTTTTGTCTTTTTTCGTGACCGGTAACGGGATCACAACCCTCGGTGTCGTGCCCGTACCGCGACCGAACCCTCGGCGGGAGGGCCGTGGCACTCCCAAGTGCCGCACTCTACCAAGTGCACCACCAGGCCGGCCCGAAAGTATCACTTCTAAAAGCACCTCTAGGGCCGAGCCTGTGGCGCACTCGGGAGAGTGTGGCACTGGGAGTGCAGCAGCGCTCCCACCGCGGGTTCGGATCCTATATAGGGATGACCGGTGCGTTCACTGGCTGAGCGCGGTGCGGCCAGTCTCAAAAAGGACAAGAAAAAAAAGCACCTCTAAAAAAATAAATAAAATAAAGCACCTCTGTTTACACTTGGTCTCTTTTCCAGATTATTACTTCTTGTCCATTGGTCTGGTGATGTTGGGAAAATTTGGGATCACCTCTGCTTTCTCCATGCTGTATGTCTTCACTGCAGAGCTCTACCCAACCCCGGTCAGGAACATGGCAGTGGGGGTCACATCCATGGCCTCCAGGGTGGGCAGCATCATTGCTCCCTACTTCGTTT